GTCAAGAGGAATTCGCCGTCGTCTTCTGGTGGAACCGACCTTCGAATCTCTTCACCCAACACTTCCACTCTAAATTGAAGTAATCCCAACAATAATTAGGCTATATTTCATAATTAAGATTTAAATGACACTCCTTAATTTTGCATCACCTAAATCAGAGAGCATTTGCAGTTAGTCATTTTGCAAGAATCGTACTAATCGAAATACCATATGGTTTAGAGTGGCTAGTACTCGACTGTATTTTCTCCTAGTTACGTCTAAATAGATTTAGCTAAGGCGATTAACTTTCGACTAGCATTTTCTGGTTTCTTGTCGTAATGGGAATACAAAGGAGAGCAAAGTTATGCCGTAACCACACAATTTTCAGGATGGGAAATATCTCTGGTTGCAAAATAAAATCGGTATTTCTATATATCGTTGGCAAGAAAATTCCAAGCCTCGCTTCAGGTCACCCAGAGTGAATAGGCTTTTCGTCTATCGACCGGAAGAGACAAATGTCAAATTTCCTTCTTATCAGCTCTTTGAGCTGACAAAAGATCTAAACAAATGCTTTTGCTACAAAAATTAATATGTATTAAAAATGCAGTTAAAGCTGAAGAGGGAAAACATTTCTGCAATAGTCAACTGTCCACACAGGGAACTATTAAAATGCTAAAAAAGAAAGGCTATTAGTAAAAATCTACATAAAAAGATGCTCATTCTCTTAATTACGAATAAATACTTATCTTCATAGTCAATAGATGATTCGGGAGGGCATAGAAACACATATCAACGAAGCGGAATTAGTGTCGAGATTACAACTCTAAGGGAATGCAGGTATGAGCTGAATTTTGTCTGCTAAAATGTAACGAGTCCAAATTGAGCAATGGCATAATTTGCAATATGAAGATGGGGCAATAAATGTTAAGTTGGGGCCATAGTAAATGCGTCGCAGCATCGGTTCCTCATTCTTTCATTTGGAGGCCAGCAGACCGGCCAATAGACCAGCAAGCACCCCTAATCCGGGTCCCGCCATCTGGACTGGAAGGCGAGTCGCCGTGTTGCAATTGTTAGTACCACAAATGCAGACCTCTGAAAAGCCGCCCTGTGATTGTTGCCGTGTGCAGGTCAGCTCATCTGGCTCTCCACCCTGAAGATCGCAGTATCGTCGCAGCTGCATGACGGCTACATGGACAAAGAGACCCGGTAATACGGGCGATTGGGTAGTAATAAAATGAGGGAATAAAGGGTGAACGATGCATAAGAGTGACTAGTACTGGGGAGCCAAGAAGGGTAGGGTCAATGAGGAAATAAGAATGATCGCTAAGCAACTGTTGATTAAAGGTCAAAATCATTATTATGACCTCTTGTGGACGCCATGATAACTGAGCTCTAATAAGTCGTGGTCGATTGGTAAAAAAAATGCTCAAAAGTGACTAACGTAATCGGTTAAGCAGACTTCGTGCGAACGCGGAATGAGTTATCGGATCTAATTAGTAAACATT